AAACATATACAGATGGATTACTGATCTATTTGTACAGATTCTTTACTGTATATGAATATCTAAACAGGAACATTTAATTTGTGGGTTATGTTTTCTTCTGCAGTAGCGTATACTGTTTATTGTTTGTGTGCAAGACCGGTGGGCCTTGACTGCTGACTCTTTTACCATGAAAACAAGATGTGCTGGCATGTGCTGTATAAAAATTATTAGATCTGGCATTGAATTAACTACTTGGGGAAAGCAACACAGTCATAGGGAAACTGACAGGATAGAATATGGAAGTTGACATTACAAACTTGTGCAATGGCTGTAAACTTTGCTTCACTATTTAATGAATCGTTGACCTAGAATTGTACATATACATCAGATGTCCAAAATACTGAGATAGGCATGCTTATTCCAGGCCAGAAACACAGTTAGTGAATTAGTTAATAAGAGCTCATGTCCATAGACATTTGTTTGCATAAGAGCTGCTTTTCTTCTCCATACACAAATAAATCAAAGCAACTCATAGGGATGATAGTCCTGAAGTGTGCCCCTTCCAAACCTCCCAAATATTGCAGCCATCATGTGTCTATCCTGACCGTTTCCTTTTATTGTTTGTTACTATAAAGATGCATTTATGCATTACAGTATATGAATGAATCTCTGTGTACAGTATTTCTATTACCATAGGGAAATGTAACTAACTAACCCTATAATAATTAAATAACCCTGTACTGGGTATTTAGCTCTATTATAATTATAATGCTTACATTGGGATCGTTATATAGTAAGGCAGTCCAACTTTTGTTTCCTTGGCAGAAGCCTGCACAGCAATATGACAATAAAAAATAAATAAAGCAACTAATGGTATTGTGGCAAGAGGTCAAATCACAGATTTCCGCTTTGTTTCCTTTTAGACTTCTGTGTTTACTCCAGCGTACAGCTCAGTGACAAATGTACGTGTCAACAGCACCATGAACACGTCCCAGGTTTTAAACCTGCTGCTTAAAAAATTCAGGGTAAGCATGAAGAAAGAAAATGTAATAATTTAAAAAAAATAGTTCATATTTAATTTAGATAAGTGGGTCAAAACCTATTTTTTTTCTGCATACCAATCACAAATTAATTTTATATATAAAATACATATATTCAGTGGTTAGCCATAACATTCTGACCACTGAGAGGAAGTAAATAGCATTGATTATCTTGTTACAATTACACCTGGAAGCGGGTGGGATGTATTCGGCAGCAAGTGAACATTTTGTGCCTGAAGTTGATGTGTTGGAAGCAGAAGAAATGGGCAAGCATAAGGATTTCAGCAACTTTGACAAAGGCCAAATTGTGATGGCTAGACGACTGGGTCAGGGCAACTCCAAAACTGCAGCTCTTGTGGGATTTTCCGGGTCTGCAGTGGTCAGGAGGACCTACCAAAATCGGTAGAAGGAAGGAAAATCTGTAAACCAGCAACAGAATCATAAATGTCCAAGGCTTATTGATGCATGTGGGGAGCGAAGGCTGATCCATGTAGTCTGATTCAATAGAAGAGATGCTGTAGCTCAAATTGCTGAAAAAGTTAATGCTGGTTCTGATAGAAAGGCGTCGGAACACACAGTGCATGGCAGTTTGTTGCATATGGGGCTGCATAGCCACAGGCCGGCCAGGATGTCTATGCTGATCCGTGTCCAAAGATAGATGTTGCAATATGTCACCAACTTGTTCATTCCATGCCTAGAAAACTTGGTGCTGTCCTTACAAATCATGGAGGTCACATAAAATACTAGATGTAGTAGTTTTTGTTGTGGGGTGTATTCATTTTTTCTTCTCCTAATTTGAGGAAAACTGAAGATTCTGTAATCTAAGTTATATTATTATATAATTATGTCAGTATGCGCCGGTGGCATTTATCGTTCTGCTATTTAGCGGCCATGAACTTATATTAGAACAGTTCCCCTGACGGTCCCCTTTAACCGCCTCCCGGCCGGCCGAGTGTGCAACGAACACATCACTGCTTCATCAGCTTCTTTGGGGGTCCCTAGGTGACATTAGGGGTCTTGAAGACCCCTGATGTCTCCATAAAGAGGACCTGCCACATCGTTGCCCTCAATTTCTTTTTATGCAGGTATTCCTCACTTAACGACCGACTTCCGTTCCTACGACCAGGTCGTTAAACGAATTGGTTGTTAAGTGAGGAACTCTATACAGTACTGTACTGCATTAGTACAGTACTGTATAGCGTTGCAGATGTACAGTACCGAACAGTGTACTGTACATCGGTCAATGAAAATACTTACCGGGACCCGCAGTGAAGATTGGAGGACATCACTTCCGCCGGCGACACGTCGCGCTGACGCGCAAGCAGGTAAGTCGTTAACCGAGGAATGTCTGTATTTCAAAAGGGAAATATCAGGGGTCCGTTTAGACCCCTGATATTGCCCCAAAAACTCCCAACAGTAAAGAAAAAAATTAAAAATACATTGTAAAAAATGAAATAATAAAAAAATTTTAAATAATAAAACACAACCTCCCCCACACACACATAACATACACGTGCACCATACATGTCCTGCAGTGCATTGTAGGAATGCATCACAGTGCTTGATTTTTTTAGCTTTTTTTTTGCATACAAGTTTTTTTATTGAAATCATTAACGCATCGATACAAATAAGGCATTGTCATTAAAGTTATGAATCACAGCATTAAGTACACGTTACAGGCGTCGAGTGATATAATTCCAAGAAATTATTTAGATGTTCCTTTCATTACATTGCAACAGTGTAAAATTGTAAAGCAAAAGAAAACAGTATAATTAACTTTAAAAGTATTATTTATGTCTATAAGGATACCAGGTCAGGTAAATAACGTGGGATAAACGTGGGATCAGAACAACTATGCCAGAAATGTGTATGTTGTCTGTCCATTCACTGGGGCGGGGTATTTGCTTCCGGAGTTATTGGGTGTAAAATGTCTAGGTAATTCATGGCCAGGATCCGCTGTTGGCTTCCCAGTCTCATGTGACAATGGTCGAGGGAGCAGGGGGTCTACCAGGTAAGTAGATTTCAATGGGCGCGTCTGTATAGGGTGTGTCCCTGGCTTATATGGTGGTGATCAGAGAAGCTATATCGGTAATTTTGCGGTGCAACAGTAACAACATAGCCCTAGGTTTCTCGTTGAGGTAGTTCTCTGCCAGTGGTTGCAAGTACAAAGGAATGTAAGTCCTCTTTATGGTTTATAGATATATCTTTGTGTATGAAATTGTCCCATTCCGAGATGTTGTGTGTGTTCAGTGGCTGGAGAAGAATTAGTAAGTAGATCCATGAGAAAAGAATCTGAATAAGATAAGTTGCAAATCGGACAATTGTGGTGATTCTTTAGATAACCAGAGTTGGAGTATACATTTTGTTGCTCCTAGTAGGCATAGATGTTCCCAGCATTGCAAGGAGGGATTACTTGTAGATGATGCAGTAACATTATCCTGGAACAAACATATTCGTGGATGAGGGGGTTCGAGTAATGCCGCTGATAGCGTGCATGTAAGATATAATGCATGTCCAAAAGGTTGTAATATGCGGACAAGTCCAAAAAAGGGGGTTTAGATCTGGCAAATTTGCGTTACATTTAGGGCAGCAAGTTATCCTGTCAGTGTTCCCAGGTTTGGGCATAAAGTTAAAGGCACAGTATGCTCTATGAATTAATTTAAATTGTAGTTCCCTCCACACCTCACAAGTAATGGTTCTGCGTATCCGGCGCCAGCTTTTATGAAGTATGTCTTGAGTCTCCTCTGTGGGGAGTTCTAGAAAACGTGCCCATTGCCATACATAGGTGGGTGGTGTCTTAATTTCCTCAGTGGCGTGGTTTCTAAGGATGTTGTAAATGTGAGACAGTGATAGTTTTGTGGGTGACGGGCGAGTAAGTCGAGTAAAGGTGATATTTGGGGTTTGCTTAACCGAGGGAGGTAGGTTCTGTTTAATAAAGTGTCTAATTTGATAATAGTGTAGCAAGTGTGAGGGGGGAATTGCATGTTCTCTCTGCAGAGTGGAAATTTTGCTTTTTAAAATAACATTAATTTAACTGTGGCAATGCACGATAAAGCATTTTGACGCATTGCCATGCGTTGTGATACGCTGTATTGCAATTAAATGTAGGCCTGTATCATTTTATCACAACACACACACACACCAACACAGCAAAAAAATGATTTTCAACATAAGTCTCTTATTTACAGTTTTGCGTTCCTTCATTTTTTTTACCGTTTCGCAAAAAGGCGCAATTTAAAATTTACAAATGTTTGTTATTTATTAACTCAATACAGTTTTATCTTTTAGATTTAGTCGGAAAATATATTTTTTTGTGCACTGATACTGATTTTAGTGTGCTTTATCAATTGAACTGTGTATTTTTATCTGTTTAATATTTGATTTGATAATCACTTGCGCAATTATCGCAGGACCTACAAATTTAGTAGCACAATCTTTTTATTCTACCGGGCCTGTGCTTTCAGAAAATATATGGTTTGGGGGGGAGGGTCTTTTAAAAACGCTAGCAACGCAGCAGTTGAAAATCAAAACAATGGGAAAAATTGCACAAATGGTGTGGCCAGCTGAGGTGTAAAGCGTTCCAGAGGGCTTGGCAGCGAAAGGGTTAAATCCCCTAAATACATTTCAAGTGCATCAAAACAAAAGGTTTTCAAAGTGTTAGTTAATTCCTTTAGAAAGCATGCTACAACCTGAGTAGAAAAACCTGTCAGCATGTTTTAGCTAAGGAAGAAGTTACCTACTTCTCTGCACTCTGCAGAGGTCTTCACTCACTTATTTTATGCTCCATTGCATTGCATTTAATATGGTCCAGGTAATATACTAGTTAAACAATATATAAAGGAAGTAGGGATGCACCGATACCGATGCCACATGGCCCTGGTGAGCAACACAGAGTACAGTATGTAGCTTCATATTGTTCTGCATTGCTGTATAATGTGTTGCTGGGATTTGTAGTCCTCTATAGCTGGTGGTATTTTGCATTTCTGTATAATGTATTGCTGGGATTTGTAGTCCCTCTACTTGGAGTCAGTGGCAGAACTACCAGGGGCGCAGAGTTTGCAACTGGACCCTGCGGCTTCACCACTGTCCTAAAATCATTAGTCTGTATTGTTTTAGAAAAACTGTCACATGACACTGAAAAAAAAGGCATTGGTAATTGGTATCTGCAAGTACTTTAGGAAAAGTATCGGTACTTGCCAGGGGCGTAACAAAATTTTTTGTATGGGCCCTCCTGCCTAAACCATGACCCCCTCCCCCTCCCTCCCTCCCACCCAGTTTCCTCCACCTTGTGTAAATGAGGCCTAACACTCTACCTTAATACTGCCACACCAACGAAGGCTGCCGAGAGGGGATTATAATTTGTAAGCCCACTTTCCCCAGATTCACTGGTGTTGCAGTACTATTGTAAGTTATAATTAAACTGTTACACCAAAGAAAGATCACACAGAGCAATATAGCCCACTTTCCCCTGTTTCTATGGTGTGGCAGTGTAAATATAACTTAAAATAACTCTGCCACACCATTACAAATCCCAGCAATACATTATACAGCAATCCCAAATGGCAAAAAGCTATAGAGGTCTACAAATACCTCCCACACAGTTTCCTCCACCTTGTGTAAATGAGGCCTAACACTCTACCTTAATACTGCCACACCAACGAAGGCTGCCGAGAGGGGATTATAATTTGTAAGCCCACTTTCCCCAGATTCACTGGTGTTGCAGTACTATTGTAAGTTATAATTAAACTGTTACACCAAAGAAAGATCACACAGAGCAATATAGCCCACTTTCCCCTGTTTCTATGGTGTGGCAGTGTAAATATAACTTAAAATAACTCTGCCACACCATTACAAATCCCAGCAATACATTATACAGCAATCCCAAATGGCAAAAAGCTATAGAGGTCTACAAATCCCAGCAAAATATTATACAGCAATGCAGAATAATATGAAGCTATATTTTCTGTGCTGCTCCGGGGTGCAGG